CTAGGACATAGAAAGCCATAGACTTAGGAGTATGGAAAGAAAAGCGAGAAATGCGTCGGAGACAAGAGTCAGCTTACTAACAGTAGAGGTGTTTGATCCTAGGCATTGTCATGTCTATGACGCGCATGTCGAAAGATGATATGGGGTTCTATAGCGTTAAGTTAGTCTCTCATTCAGATCGAGAATCCAAACTTTTGGGGAATATATATACTATTAAAGGCTTAGGGAAGAGTTTATAACATTCTCATTACAAGGGGTGGGAAATCCAGCGGAAAATGTGAATAGATCTGATGAAATACGCTCAAAAGGGCACATCAGAACCAGGTTAAATAAGCAAGTAATAAATTGTGATAGTGAAGGGGTGATATGTGGAAATAGGATAGGTGAATGCACTAGGACAGGAGAAATAAAACAACTGATTAGCGGATAATTGGTCGAAGGATTGACTTCACTTGTCTCTTTGACGAATTGCGGTGATAGGTGTAGCAAGACACACTGACGATGCCAACTACAAAACCGGCGAAATAAATTGAATGTACCAAGTCCACGGTCCGACACTGGAAATTATCATGCATATGATGAACTCCGGACATGTTGAGTTCCTCTAGTTTCTCCTGCCAATATAACCAAGTTGCGAAAACAGAGTCAAATAATTGTAAAATAAAATTTGATCTTAGCTTCATTTCATTTCGAGCAGCATAAAGATCAGGACTTAAAGCATAAGGAGGCATATGATATCGTTTTCACATAGATCATGTGACAGTTTTAAACACTTCTGATCAGATTTAGATAAAGTGCTTAGTGAAGAGACTCGAAGGTCGATCCCACCAGAAGACGAAACCGGATTCCTTCTTACCAGCTGTCGACTGGCTTTACTGGAACATTCTTGTTGGCACTGTTTCCGAGACAATCTCCTTCGATTCAAATGAAAATGTGCTAAGCTCTCGTGCGTCTAATAACGGACATAATCAGAACATTTGGTAGACATTCTTGCAACCATATTCAAGTTAACAAGTCAAGAAAATTCACCGACAATTGATTAAAAAGAATTCGTCGTAGTTTTCTAGTGGGAGTGATCTTCGAATTTCTTCATCAAGCAGATTCACTCGAAATGGAAATAAGCTCAACAATCAAGTCCTCTAAATCCAACCTTCCTTCGCTGATTTAGGGAAGCATAGCCCGAAAATTTACTATTAAGAATGAATCATCGTAACAGAAGCATAAGCTCAATAACCGAATTTATTGGATAAAGTACTATTATTAGAACAGAACAAGAATAAATTAGGGACTTCCATGATCAAAATCAGTATAATTTTTACACTGTATTTTAAAGCAAGGAGAAAAATCAGATTTAAAATATTGAAAATGTCAACCACAATTACGCTATCTCGGTTATGCTTTTTCCATTTGATCATTAAGCCTTGATGGCCCAGTGCTGGCGATACGTTTTTTTCCTATTATTCTGAGGTATGGCCAGTTTTCCGTAGAGATGTTAACATATATATATATATATACACACACACACACCATCGAGTGTATACGAATTAGCTAAGTCTTTATGTATCCATCTATATCTTAAATTTTGCTCGCAATGAATAAATATATATATCATATAGAATAAAGCCGATCAGTATTCTTGACTTAGTGATAATTTAAGGCTTTTGCAAGAATGAGTCCCGGCTCTAATGATGTTCGTCAAATGGCATGAAGAACGTAAGGTTCAGCCCGTCTGCGCCCAAAACGTTGGAGGATGTTTCGCGAACTACACCAACCTGAACGTCCTATTAAAGCCAAACAGCCGCAGTACAACACGAATCAGCCGATGTCTTCTGGTGAGATTGACCTACGGATTTCTTTATCATGCACTTCAATACGAAATGAAAGTCTTTACAACAATCTCATTTCATGAGATTATTCGAAACCCGCATTTTCTTCGTAAGTAGTGTTGGCTTGACCTAGTTTTCACAACTTTTTCGAAGAGACAGTGAGAACTTCTGGAATTTAGCGAGTTCTGTGTCCTCTGCAATAGTGTTCATGATAATTTCCAGCATCGGAATATACCAAGTCAACGGTCCGATGCTGGAAATTAGCATGCATACTATGGCAGAGGACGCAAAGCTAGACAGGTTCCATGAGGTTTCACTGTCGCTCAGACCAAGTTTAGAAAACTGGATCAAGCCAACAATATAGCTTGATAAATCCATTTTTATGAAAGGAGCAATCATCAGTTATTTTTGCTGATGAATGCTTCACTTATCTATACTATGGTTCAAATTTGCCAAATGCAAAGCTGGACATAAATGAAGTAAACATGACCATTTCAGAGTTCGCATTTTTCATTAGAGGTAATTAGAAATAGGTTAATAAGATGCTAACAAAAAATTGCTTTGGGCTATCATATAAATTGTGGGATCCTTTTTTTAAGACGTAGAGCTATAACATGGGTTGGTTCGTCAATTTTATGTAAACTAAATTTAAAAATTTTACCACTTAAATACTAAGCAGTTGCCTAGCAAAGTGTATGACAAATTGCGTGTGCAAGTATGCGCAAAAATGAATTTGTGTGTATGTGCTGACTTGAGCGTATGTAAGTATGGATGTAAGTACGATATTCTACATGATTGGAATTATGGCAGAAAAATGTATCTGGCACGGCGACAGAATAAAAGATGGGCAAGAAAGGCGAGAGATTGATCCGATATGAGCCGCTCGTTTGTATACGCACATGAGCAAGCAGGCACGGAGGCTCATGCGTGTGTAATCGGGGACCATAAAAGTCCACAAAAATACAACTCATATCCCTGTGGATCTCAGCAAATAGGCAAGTGAAAAAAATATATATAGGAAAAGAAAGATCGATAATAATGTATAGACCGGTAAATCTTTAGTGGCTAAATAGCAATAAGATAGGCTAAATAACAAGTTCCATTATAAAAAAAATATAAAAAAGTGGGAGGGCCATCAGCGCTCAAGCATGATCGACTGGAGTGGAGAAACATTCTAGAACATTTCTAAAATTTCAAACTGACTTACCAAAAAAAAAGGTTTCACGACTTAAAGTGTCAGTTTAAGTTGTAAATAGCATACAAAACAAACAATTCTGACAGTAAATACACATAATAGTAAGATTAAAATAGCATAAAATATTAAAAAATACTCCAAATCAAGCTTAATAACATAAAATAAAACCCCATCCATCTAAGGGTGCTTAAGATGATAGTTTTGAGACCTACTTACATGAAAATAAATAAAGATGTCGAATGTGCTAGAAAATAAACGCTATAAAATGTTATATGGATGCAGACCTTAATCGTCAATTTGAATTAAGGTATGAAAAAGAGTTAAAGCAAAATCTAAACAAATGAAGTACACTTTGAACAGAGCATACCGGCCTTGTTTTCGTAGTAGTGACATGTTTCATAATAAGATGCGATAACGAGCTAAAATAAAACACAACAAAGGGCAAAACAAAGAAACTTACGAGAGGGGTAGTCGAACCAGATAAGGAAAACGAGAGGCAAGAATCAGCATTTTCTTGTGTAGTCGGTGGATTATCGAGAGCAAGAGAAGTTCGATCAGTAATTAATGCTGGAAGTCGATGGGTGCAAGAAGGCAAGGGAAATAGTGAGGCAATGTAAGTGATTTTGATGAATCAAGGACGATCTGCTTAGCATTGTAAAATGTCAGCGTGAGAAAAGTAACTTGATGGAATTGAGGAACATGTTGGAAATGAAAGCAGGCTCAATATTATACCTATATATCATCCCTCTAAGCAAGCTAGTGACTCGGGGTCTTACACCTATAAACGTTACTAAAAACGCACAAAGAAGACTTCTGAAATAGTTCGGTCCGCAAACAAATACATTTCAAATAATATGCTTATAAGAATCGAGCTTATGACCAGTAACAAATAGCTTTGTCTTAAAAAATGATGGGGCCAATACTAAGAAATGGTTGTAAGGAAAATTAATGCGCTCAGCCTCCGTAGACATACTCAAAAAGAAATAGTGTGGATATTTTCGAGGGGTAAAGGGTGCGGTGACTACTCCGATGTACAAAATGTTAACTCCATGGCCTAAGGCGACTACTAGGTTATCTCACTATTACCAAGAACTGGTAAACTGTCCTATTGAGCTGAATGGAACTATGTATGGCATCTGTCATGCCTAAAGCTCGACGTAATTTCTCAAGGATGTAATGCGGAGCGAAAGTAAGTCTCTAAGCCGGTGCTGGAAAATCAATCGAAGAGGAGCACTAGCTCTACATAATATTTTTAAAGCCTTTGAATTCGTAAATCACTTCATAAACTTTGCAGACCTACCGCATTATCAAGGACAGAGGCACAAATTGACGATTTTAAGACATACTCAGTTTGAAATCTTGAAGTCTCTGCTTAAAAAAACTATGCATGAGAGGATATTAATCATGAAATAAGTTTGTTGAAATAGCAGAACTATGAAAAAACAGTAGTGGTCATATCACTATAAAAATTGCCAGAGGAAATACATAATAAGTACCTTCAATTTTTGAAAAATGAATAATCAACGAACAAGTATTAAAAGAACACCTACGAAAATCCTCGTTTGAATAAAGCAAGTTGACCATATCAAAAACTCGGTAAAGATACTAACTTAATTAAGTGCTATTTCTTGGAGGTGGATAACCAAAGAAGTGAGATATGGAAACCTATTGGCTTCGCGATAGACTTAAGATTGATTTCGAAGCCAAATCTTCTAACTTTTACAAGGGATAAGCGACAAGGCCCAGCTTATATTTAAAAAGGTGTCGACAAAGGTCTATGAAATCTGATCTTCTAATAAGGATTTACATCGGTTGATTATGATAAATTAGTAGTTATAACAAATAAAAAATGAGTGAAATTGTAAGTTAAAACATCCGTCGCCTGCAGTAAAGCTTTAACTCGTATGCATTAAGTGCTAGATATCGAGTCGAATATGGATCAGCAAGAGCAATTATCAATGGGTGGAGAGAAAAAAGACCTAAAATATCTGCTCACTCATATCAGCTTCTCTGGCCACTGTAAGCTCCAAAATTTGTCCAGGCTGCCAAGGTGAAGCAGTTAGAGTAGATAGTCCTTGCTCATCTGAAGTGAGTACTGGCCTACGGCAGGAAACGGCAATACTTTCGACTGGGACGGATGAAGAGCAGGAAGTCACCGGTGGAGATAAGAGGAATGGAGAAGAATCAAAATTTGGGTCCCGAAAAGGCATGGGAGATGACCGAAAAATAGAAATAGGCGAAACAGGCGCTGAAAGCATTGCATTCGAACAAGGGAGATTCACATCGGAAGGCATTTTATCAACTCTATTCTCGGAGACACCTGGAAAACTTGAATTGGTATAATGTCCATTGTTAATGTCTGAAGACACATCTGAAAACTCTGGACAGGTAGAAGTCCTGAAAGCAGATGAGCGGAAGTGGTTATAAGGAAAAAAGGCCGAATGCTAAAATTAATAAATTTTAGCAAAACCAAAAAATATGAATAAATATAATGTGACCTTATATGAAAAATAATTGTGAAAGTCAAAGATAAGAGAAAACTCTCGCCGGCTAATGAAAACTGAACCAATTCTTCTTCACAAGACAATAGAAATGCGTTCATCAGTTATACTACATGCATAGAGGACAT